GAAGGCTCAGCGCAAGGAATGCCAGGATCGAGTGAATGTTTTCTAATTTGAATCAAAACTTAACCGAACAGTCGACCACATTAGAATGGTTAAAAGTGAATGCACGAAACAAATTAAAAGTGGCGGTTTCATTAAGGAAAAGCAGATTGTTGATGAGCGTCCGAGCAAAAGATCGACCTGCGACGACTTACCTGCGAGTCCTCCTGCCACGAGGGCGAGCACGAAGACGAGGCTTGAGGTCGTCATGGTGGCTCTACCCGGTCACCACGACTACTGGACGACCTGCTGAGTCTCTGCCTTTTATACCCGACATGACATGAGTCACACGAATTGCATATCTAATCTGGACTAGACAGTCTGTAAGCAATTCAGTTTTTGACAAAGTTCTTTCTGCAGGGAATTCTCGTCAATAATATGAATCATTCATATACCCTTACATATATATATATATATATATATATATATANCGCTCACAGCGAACAACCGCTCACACCGAACCATCGCTCACAGCGAACAGCCACTCACAAAGTACAACCATTCACAACGACAATCACTTATAACAAAACACTCCCAATAAACAAACTCTCAGTAAACAACTACTCACAGCAACCATCCACTTGATCAATAGTGTTCCATTGCAGGTAACTACCATGCTTTTCATTACAGGTGTTCCAGGCTATCATAACGCACTAAATTGTTATAAAATGTGTATGGCACCACAATATCAGTGTACAAAACCATGTAGATTGGTCTTAGATGAAGCATTACGTGTGCTGTGTCGTCAGTGCTTCAGCATAATACTGTACACTTTCCAAGTACTGCTCAGGGATGGGCTGCGGAAAGTGCGGGCAAATCCTGCTCAGACGGGCAACAAGTTTGCGGCGCGAAGCAGGAGAGGCGGCTGTGTCGCTGGTCCGCCTCGATATCAATGAGATCCTTCTATTAGTGGGCTCACCTCGATATGAATATCCTGTTGATCCTGAGGCATTCACGGTCCAGCCCATGTGGCGAGAGCTTGCACTGGGCTTTGCGAGCATCTCCAACAGGTCGAGTTTCTGCCAAGGGGTAAGCATTCCCTGGGCCATGGATCAGCAGCATGTGATTAGGGCTAAGAAAAAGTCGTCGAAGTACAAGTAGAAGAGTGCAAGTTCGACCGCCACAAATACAACGTGGGTGGAGTTACTGACGGGAAGTTCTGGGGGAGACACGCGATCTTTCCCTCGTCGCGGTCGAGGACTGAACCAGCTAGACCCTACTTGCAGATGTTAAGAAACGAGTCGTCCCTTGACCGATCATGATCCCCGATTACTGGAAGGACTGCAACATTCTCTCCGATGCATGCACACACCCGGTTGTCGACCATTCCCATCACTTCATAAACCCAGGACCTAAATGTAAGGTTACACTGTGCACCGCGGCGTCACCCTATCCTCCAGACTAAGAGCTTCAGCCACCCACACCACACATCCACCACCCATTCTAAGCACTATCCTGCCGTGAATACGTGGAGGATTCTTTGTCTTCCAGGACAGGGGTTGGGGGGGGGTGATATTTTCTGTATAAATATTTCACATTTTACCCCTCAATGTCCCTGGTACTTCCCCTACGATCGGGCTACCACAGGGTACGTCCTACATCTATGGGTAGTATAGGCTTAGGGGAGCTCACCGTTACCAGTATCATTGTAATCGGCCCCGCGAAGGTATTCTGAATTACCATATGAATAAATGAATAATTACATTAAGATATAAGTAAAGAGCAAAACTGTAAATAAAACTGAAAACATTCAATTCCAAAGCAGTCTTATATATCTATGCGAAAATGAAAAAAATATATGCAATATGAGACCAAAAAGGAGAAAATAGGTACCAGAAAAGAGACATTTACATTATCTCTCAGTATTACATAAAAAATACCATACATTGAATCAAATTTAAATTAATAAATGAAAATGATAATGATGAAATTAAAATATGCATTATCTAGCACGGTATTTCGAATATGCATGACGTCACCGCATTTCACTCCGCCTGTACCAAGCTGACCTTATCTGCATTTTATGCTATCTACTTCATATCTCGAATATCTCATCCCTTATCTGTGTCATAAGATGATGTGATTTTTGTGCAATATTTTTTGTCTCTATATCTTAGTAATTTTTCTTTCTTTTACTACTTCATATATTGAGTTCTTTTACTAGTAGCAGTATAGCTGGCCGCATAAATTTGCAGCCACCCTATGTTTATAAATAGCATTTTTTATCTGGTAACACTAGTGCGTTCGAGTATAGCAAAAACCTTGCTGGCAAAGAAACTGTGTTAAAAAAGTCTAAGCAAACCTTGCAACTTAAGAGGCCTCTTTTCCACCGACAACTGTCGTGCTACACTTTCCTATGACTCCGCCCCTATTTCTGGGGGCGGAGTCATCATAAAACAGCTGCACCTGGCTGATGAGCGCGCGGAGCACCTCTGCCTGTTTTGAAACTGGAAGAAAATGGGAAGTTCAAATTTGATGCTACACTGTATGGTGCATTGTTAGTAACGACGGTGATGATAATGAGTGTATGTTTATTTATACATACACATGTGTATACACACACACGCGCACACACACACACACACACACACACAAACACATACACACACACATGCACGGTGTGTGTGTAGTATACATGTTTTCTTTTCAATTCCTAAGGGTTATGGGGATATATAATATAATATAAAACATTCTACGTATATGAATATGATACGCATTAATAAATCTCTTACGGTTGGGCAATATAGGAAAAAATGAACATTTTTACGAGATCTCCCTGCTCTAGCAACAGGAAATTAATTTTTTAATAAAAGCTTTAATATCAAAATGCTATCATATCAACAAGGCCAAGGCTAAGATGAGCGAGGTTCAGGTTTATCTTTATGTCTGCGCTTTTGATTAATATATTTCGGCGTATCATATGCAGTCAACAATAGTTATTGTTTTTCTTAAATAATTCTTTAGTCTAAGGCTTATTCAGTCCTCCAAAAAGTGTTCCTTGACGAATAATATTCGGGGAAGTATCTCATGTTTTGTTTACAGAATGTGTTCGAAATGGTAAAAGAATATTATGGAAATTTATATTAATCTCTACATAATTACTCTACTGGTTATATACATATAATTGAATATGCAGGCGTAAACTTATATATCCTTTTAAATGCAGTCAAGATCAGGTAATAAATGGTGGCCTTTTCATAAAATTTAAAAAAGTGTGATAGACGAAGGAAAAGTATGATGGGAGGCTTAGGGCCCGCGCATTTACAGCTGATTTCGATAATTTTCCATCGTTTAATTTGTAATTTTTAGATGTTAATAACTAACAGCTTGTATTCATTGTTATTTCCTAATGTTACATCAGTAAAACAGTGATTAATCCATTAATACAATTAAAAACAAAACCAAATTCATCAACTCGAGCACGATTCCGAGGAATGGGGGTGGAGCCGCACGTTTTGGCAACAGTGCAAAAACAGTTGCTGTTAGAGCGGCATGGGGAAGTCGCGAATGAATTTAACGACACATTTTAGTGTTGAAAAGGTCTATGTTCTAATATTACTTATTTATTTATTTATTATTATATTTTAAAGAACAGACATTCACTGATTTAATTCCTCAGTTAGCTATACTGCTTACAGCTTATACTCACACAATAAATGCTTCCATGAATTTCATTAAAACAAATAATAATAATGAAATAAAAATAAATAAATGAATCAATGATACAACAGTCTGTTGTCTATGTTTCCCTTTTCCTTTTTATATCTTTTACACACTGGTTATCATTTACCGTATGAAGAATGAAATAAAATACTCTCATACAAGTTTATTTTCTTTATTTGTTGACAGTCATGATTCATATATATATAACATATATCATCAAGTTGTATGTAATAGACTTCATTAGGCGCCGTCAACATCTAGGAAGAAAACAGCTGATATTCTCCCGCCATGAAAAAACAAAACAAAAACAAAACAAAACAAAAAACGCGGGAAATCTCGAAATAATATATGCTTCTAAAAGATGGAATTACCACGTAGTGACATATGCTGTTTTCTATCATTTTCTCCTTCCCTTTTCCAATGCTTTTGTGCATCGTAAATATTTAGGCTTCATTAGGACTGTGAGTAACGATAAATCAGCGCGCTTAGCAACCCACGTTTTAGATGAAATATGGAAAATATATAGTTTAGATAATGTTCCAAAACCGCTCCATGACGAACCAAGGGAGAACGAATAATTATAACAGTTTTATGATTCGATCTTCGGACGAACAAACACTTAGGTTAAGTAGTAATCAACTGTAAATATTATCGAGAGAGATGGACATAGGTAAAAATCATACCACATAATTAAAGCTTTTATATTAATATTGAACTGTTTTATCGTTATATAAAATATTCTAGAACATACGTCCTTTAGCGAATTGAAGCTGTAAGAATACAGTTCCAGACTTTAACATTCGATTGAAAAATTACATGAAATATATATATTTTTCATATACTTTCTTATGCATTTCACTATATATACCAAAATATAACAAAATTGCTAGATTTATTATTTTTTTACATTGTTTCTTCAACAACAGGGTTTTATATTGTTATATATGAGTGCAGCATTACCAGATAAAATCCCAGCTGTGCAATCACAGGGTTACTCGAATTTCTTCGTCCAGCTCGAGAAGAGCATCATTGTACCATTAATATTATCAATCTTTTCTCCTGTTCCTGGACCAGTGTGTGTTAAGTTCTGATATTAAATAAATAAATAAATATATATATATACATTGTTGATGCTATTTACATTGACTACTTTATGTTTTTGTTCAATACTGATGAACACAATATCTGTTGCAGTATTATGTTTTGCTAACTGTATGATCATCACTATGTGTTAAGACCCATGTATTCTGATAAAGGAGCCTTGTTTTGTAATCTCTTTGGAATCAATGATAAATCAACACTTATTTGCATTTATTTATTTTTTTCATTTTCATATGCAGTCTTACAACAAAGATAATATGGATAATAATATCTGACATTCATTCATTGGCAGGTCATCATCTCGTCTCCGTGCGGCCTGAATGCAGCTCCTCACTCAGCAAGGGATTGGGGATGCTTCTTCAACTCCCTTCAGAGCACAGAAGGTCCTGAAAGCAGTGAAGGCGTCGCAGGCGTCCCGGGCGGCGTGGCACATTCGGACGAAGGGTTCTGGTTCGACCACTGCGATGCACTGTGATCGGATCCTGAGCAGCGCTTCACACTGGATCACGCGAGCCACTGTAGGTATGGCATGGGGAACCTCGGGCATGGAGCACTGCTTCCTCTCCCGCCAAGAAGCCACCAACTCGCGAGGGCTGGACGGTTCTGCACCATTCGGCATGAGGTGGTCGTCTCCAATTTCTCCGTTGTTGGGTCCCAGAAGCCCTGCCACATGGCCAAAGGTCCATCCTGACGCCTCTATGGCCACAACCTCGCCCTTCGTAGATACAATAGTCTTCATCAAAGGACATTGTACTACAATCTCTCCAGCCTTCTTCTCAATTCTAATCTTTCCAACAGTCTCTTCTGATCCACTGGTTGGCTGACCGTTAACAAGCACTTCAGCATCAGGCTTGACGACGATGGTGGCATCTGGTGTCTTGATCTCAATCTCTGCAGGTGCTGAGGGCTGTGGGTGGGACATCATGATGAAATGGGAACCATGGGCGGCCAACAGGACCTTGCAGGGGGATCGAGGTGCTCGCACCACAAGGCCGTCAAAGGTGAGGATCTCGGTACCTCCTACCACCATGGCTCGTCTTGGGTAAGGAGGCAACAGATCGGTGATTTGCTGAGGCACGAAGGTGTAATACATCCAGATAAAGTCTTCAAGAGAATAAGGCAGTGTGCTATCAATCAGCCACATGAAGTCTTTGCGAATTTCATATGGACTGAACACATCCTTGACAAACTGCACCACTGAATACAAAGGTTTGTACAGCGGGATCTCAATCGTGAGTTGGTTCTTTTCAGCCTTTATGTCGAGGACGTGGAAGTCCTCAAGAAGAATTTCTGCAAGTGTGTTTGCCTCCATTGCTGCCAGGCGGCCCTAGAGAATGTAGAAAAATGAAATAAAGTTGCATTTTCATATTATATTTAAGCCTTAACTTTAAGATATTTATAGACTGTAGGAAAAATACAATTATAGAACAGGTTACTAATGTACAAGAACAACTTACAGGATTCAGGTTTTCCATGATCCAGTCGATAATCCTTCGGAAAGCAGGAATTTCCATGATCCTCTCAAACACGAGATCAAAGTCCCTCTCCAAGGTACTTATCACATTGACTACAACATATTTAATGGCCTCATATTCTTCTGGATACCTGGCCAGCAATGCCTCCACTGCTCCCTTGAGGAACTCGTACACTTCACTCGTTTTCAGTTCTTCTACCATATGGCGAACAGGCTCTGGAATCTCTCCAGTTTCTAGAACTTGCAGAATTTCCTCCAAAACTGCAAATCATTAAAGTTCAAGGTTATTCATCTGTCTACATAAATATCTGACATCCAAAACTGTAGAACCAAAACTCTTTGCACTGCAACTCACCTGTGAACATGTGAGTGGTAATGTCCTTCACCATTTCCAGACACACATTGACCATCTTCTTGCGTTCCTGGATGATGCTCTTCTCAAGCTGAGCCCAAATTCGAATCATGTGCCTGAAGCTGTTCTTGATGCGACCAAAAGAAGGCATTTCTCCAAGGATTGGCCTGCTATCTTCTACCAGATCCTGGTAGATCTGCCTCAGTTCTGCTTTAACTTCGGCTATCAGTGTGGAGAACTCTGATCCTGGCATGCTTGCTGAGGACCCTGCTACTTCCTCAAAGATCTCTCGAACTTCAGCTCCCACAGAGGTTGTGATAGCTGAGAGTTTTTCCTGAATCAAATCCTGTTAAATATACAAGTATAATGTCAGTTAATTAACTTCTAACGATTTATGTGATTGCTTGCTGTAAATTGCATTTTGCAGGCTTTGATGCAGATTTGAAATGCTTACCTTCATACGATAGAATTCCGGACGCTCATAAGCAAAGCCAACTTTGATCAGTGTAGGATCAGCCATCTCCAAGCGAGCAAGGATGATAGGATGCTCCTCCGCAGACTGTGTTGTTCCCTCACTCAGACTAATTTCCGCATTAGCTGGTGCCTGAAGACCGATCCTGGCGATGTATTTTCTATCGGCACCTTGCTTGTTGGTGGTCACCTCAACAAAAGCAGGTTTGCACATTCGTGAGTGGATGTCATGTGTTCCCAGAACAGGGGCATAGACTACACCAGACATAGCCAAGCCATTGCATGTGGGGGTCTCTTCAGGCTCCATTACCCCAGACACCTCAAATACTGGAGTGTTCTCGTAATCCACTGTGAAAGCCAGGACTGCATTCCTTGGACTAGTTTTGTCGTATTTGGCAATGACCTTAAGGGATGGTGGGGCAGAAGCAGATTTCTTGAATTCTACATCTAAACCAATTGTGTCAGAGCCAATGGCTGTCTGCAGAATGAGCTTGGGACTCACTTTCAGAACCTGGAAAAAGAATTGTTAATAATTTATAGTGCATAATGTGTAGCTTTTACCAGATAAACTGTGCAAAGAACGATGTTTCACATTGAAGGACTTACCCTGCTGACAATGGAACCTTCAGTTCTAATGCTGCTTTCTGATACTCGAGTTGATGCAAGATGGCCAGTAATTTTGTCCTCGCTAGACGGGAAAATATCCAGCTCTACAGTTCCTTCCACAGCTGTTTGGTCAGCTGTGTACTGAAGAGCAAACTGCATGGGTTTGGGAAGAACTGGATGGTTGATTTGGCTCTCCCATCTGCCTTGATTGCCCGTGTGGGTAGCCTTGTACCCAACTTCGTATGTGGACTCAGGGTTGCTTTTGTTGGGATAGAACTTGATTCCTGACTGTGAAGCTGAGACGTGGGCTTCACCCTGCATTGTGCGTGATGGAGTCTGCACCATAACATGGTAAGATGATGGTGTTGGCTTACTGTAATGATAGCGATAGTTAGCTGACTCAGATCTCTCAATTCTCTCTTCCTTTTCAAAGGTAAGTACAGCACGGGCAACCTTTAGTAGCTGAACTGCTGCCTTCAGGTCCAGTCCTGCTTCAATGGCTTCAATTTCACCTTGGGGCCGGATCTTCACATCCCAGTCAAAGATAGATTTAGGAGCATTTCTTGTCATTATACACTTCCCTTCATAAGAGCCTTCTTTGTTTTCAATGGAGAATTCTAACATGAGGGGCTTCCTCAGGACAAGGCCTTCAGCATCAACCTAGAAAATATCAAAACTTAATCTAACTTTCTGCCTTTAATTTGTATTTTGTTGTTTTAAGTCAGCAGCAAATATTTGTAAAATAATTGCAAGAGGAAGGCTATTTACTTACCTTAAAGAGTACCACGTGTGCCTCTGGCATTTTGTGATGTTTCAGAATGGTCTCCAACCTTGTTTCCTTTCCTTCAGGAGCTATGTAAGTCACCTTGGTGTCAAGGGCATAGTTGTACGGACCTCCAAGCTTTTCAACGGCAACAGAACCTGTGAATTTATGCTCCTGTTCTTCAGTGTTCTTGTACCTGAAAATGGTAGTAACTCTGGTGGTGGGTTGTTGGTCCTCGATTTTGTAGCTGGCTTCCATGGCAAGAGTCTTCTGAGAAGGTGTTGTTATTTCCAGTTCGAAGCCAGATGCCAGGATATCTTCAGCATTCAGACTTAGCTTCATGTGGTATGGCTCACCAGCAACTATGATGTTTCCACTGCAAAGTGGACAGCATGTTCAGAAACTTTAAAGGAAAACTGATACATATCTCATTTCCAGTTCAAAATATAAATCATGTATATATATATATATATATATATATATATATATATATATATATATATATATATATATATCGAGTTGGAATAAAGAGAAATGGGTAAGTTTACATTGTATTGCACATAATGGCATTAATGTATGTACTGAGGAAGAAGAAAAAGTAGGAAATGTTAAAGAAAATTGAAACAACTTACTGCACAGAAGCATGACCCAGGTCAGAGGAACTGCTGATGACATTTGCATCCACTACGAACTTCCTCTCAGGGTTACCATCCGCATCCCAAGCAAATTCAGCAGTTACCTTCTTGTTTTCACCATCGACATCTATGAAAGACTTTATGCGATGTGCAGATTCACTTTTGGGAAGTACGGCTGTGTTGAGGCTCACATGAACGTTGTTTTGTATGAGTGAGATGTCGAACAAAAACTCCATGAGAGCAGGGACTACCAGTTTGGTGTTGCTAGTAGTCTTCTGTCCTGGTCCCACCTCAGAACTCAGGGTCCATTTGAACGCAAAGAGGCTCTCTCGCCTGTTCTTCATCTCAAAAGCCAGAATCTGTTTATTGCTGCTTCCTAGCAGAGTTGTAGAAATAATGTGAGGTTCCATGTCAAGCGTAGCAACTTTCAGTTCAGCTTCAAACTTTAGTTCCTTGGCGAGTAAATGTAGGTGATTGGACCATCAAGCTGCAACAACATGCGCTGTCCATGCTTAAGGGCAGCTTCAATAGCATATTTGCCTTCTTCTGCCTCATTTATTTTGCTTTCAAACTTGATAGCCTGCAGATATCCAGGAACATCGACCTGAAAATTAGTGGAAAGTGTTAAAAAGGATTATAAACACATTTTTGCTGCTACAACTTTGAGTATGTTGCAGAGGAACTTAAAAACTGCATAGGTTCTTCCTTACTATTACTCGGGCATTGTGCCCCAGCAGATCGTTCATACAGTGCTTCAAATTCAATCATCTTCAAGCTGTCTTTGGGCTTAATAACCTCCAACTGTGCTCCCATCTTTGAAGCACCCAAGAAAAATTTGTTGGTAGCTTTGTATGACTTCCTTCCCATGGTCACTGTAAAAGATAGAGGTGAAGTAAGTTTAGCATACTACTGCAATAAACATATGATCCAATCTTTCATGAGAAACGTAAATTGCAATCAATGAGCTTTGTAATTATTACCTTTAATTTCATTCTCAATCATCATATTTCTGAGCATTCTCCCTTTAGTCTTCATGACAGCGTCCACAGACATGATCTCACGAGTCCCTTTTTCAATCTTGATTAAGGTATGATGTCCTGCTGCTGGGGCTTCAGTCACCTTCCGAACATAAGAAGTGACTTTCCAAGCTCCAATAGCTGTGTGGAACTCAATCTTCCGTACTGCAGTTGGAACTACAATGCACATATATGGATTGTATACGAAGTCTCCATCAACTGAGGAACAAAGTAAATTATTAAAACAAGGCTATGTCGATCTAGACTAAGAATAACAAAATCAACACCTGTAATATGCAATGACATATACAAAATTCTTCATAATCACCCTCAATGTTAAGATCCACGAAGTCCCTAAGTGCATTCATTGTCTTGCAGATTACTTCCACCTCAGGACCATTAATTTTCTTGATAAATCTAGCTTCTACAACTTTGGACTCCGCGGTAAACCTCTTGTTCCGGCCAGTGAAAACATTTATTTCGTATTGCATTTCATCAGCAGCTTCCTTTCCATTCAACTCGACCTTAATTGCCCGTGAAATATCATATGTCTCGGACTTGAACTTTACAAAGGTCTCGAGAGCCTTGTACTCTCCCTCATTTGTCAAGGTACTCCACAGTCCTGCTGTGGTGCTAGATGTCTCAAATTTGGCAGAAACAACATGCGACCTTTCCTCCTTGCTATAGGACATAGTCAGTTCAGCTTGTCGAGGTGTCGCAGCTCCAGGAGTTCCTATGTTAAATTTGATAACCTTATTTCCTTTCTTGTTCTTGATGGCAGTAGTCATTCGGTAACCTTTCATGGAAGGATCAGCTTTCTCAATGTACAGCTTGGCAACGATGGGTTCTCCCAGAGGCATAGCAGTGCTACGGAAGATATCTGGGAAGTTCATTTCATAGCACATCTTGATGCCAAACACTGGTTCAAGAGTATCCATGCATTTCTGGTGGTGAATCCTAACATCCCTCATGGATGGTGGACTGACCTTCATCACTCTCTTTCCAATAGCTTTAATAAGATTGGTCTCTGCCTTGACACTGAATAGTTCCATCTTCTCTGGGATCTCCAGTTCAAACTCAAATACATTGTTGCTATTCTTCTTGATGTTGATGGTGGCTCCATTAGCAGTCGCAACAGTGCTCTTCAATTCGGTCCCTGCCTTTGCAATGTGACAGTCATAGCCAACAAAACCGTTGACTGCAATTGATGCACTTGGAATCAGTTTGAGACTCTTCTCAACATTTGCTGGGTTGGTAAAGAGTTCAATGATATTCAGATCACCTGCCAGTTTGATTCCCACGATGGCAGTTCCTTCCAACTTCAGCTTGAGGGGAGTACCTTGAATAGTAGGCAAAGAATAATCAAGGAATATTTGGCCTGTGCGTGCAGAATCAATGTCCAGATTGTGAATATTGGAACGACGGCATCGAAGTAAGAGAAGAGTGACTCAATTATTCTGTCAGCATCCAACTCCTTCAGGTCTTCAGCAATGGTGGCATAGGTTACTTCATGTCCAAAGATTCTTGCGAATATATCGGCACGGACTTCACCCTCTTTCCTCTCTCCATAGAGCTTTTTGAAAAATCTGGAAATAGTAGATGTGCTGATGGCCCTCTTCTCCCGAAGGCTTTCTTTTAAATGCTCTGCAATGTGATGTCCCTTCTCTTCAGCAAATGCAACGACGTCTTTCAAAATGCGATCAAACGATGCCTTTCGAAGGTATCCTTCTGGGCCAACTAGTTCCTTAATGATTGGGTCTAAGCCTTCAAGTCGGATGCCAGCCTCTCCCAAATTGATGTTCAAGTCCTCGATAGTTGTTCGGAGACTCATATCAACAGAGCGAGGTAGGAAGGATTCAGGAGTGTAAATGACATTGGACTCCACACCAGCGCCAATACCAAAGGAAGGAGAAAAGTAGGACATCTCAATATTGCGAGAGTGCTTCCTGATGTCTCCTTCGAAGTTTCTAGGAATGACGAAGTTTGTGAGGAGGTAGCGCAGATGTTCTCTGTCAGGTGAGGAGGATTCTTGGATGTTCAACAAGTGGCTCAAAACGAAACCTCGCACTGGAAAAAGAAAATCTCCACTTAGAGATACAGTTTTCGATATAATTATTCAGTGTGCTGCTATGTCACTCCATTACTTTAGGATAGCTGTAACGATTACATAGAGTATTACCTTGAGTGTTTTTTTCTTCAGAAATCCTTGAAACAATCTTCTCAAGATGTTCCTCTTCAGCACATCTGATTGCTCCCAAATAAGCTGCAATCCGAACTTCAGTAGCCATACTTGGGTGAACTGCAACATCACTAAGTTTTTCTGTAACCTGCAATATTTTCAGAAATAGAGTATAAGGTAATGAACCAATTATACTTTTCAATTCTAATTTTAACAATTTATCAAAAGCCTTTTTATATCTTCTAATACTTACATAGTGAGTACACTGTGTATGCCTGAAGACATGTGTGGCTGCTACTCGGACGCCAGTTTCTATTCCCTCATGTTCAATGACGCCAACTACTGCTCTTGTTACCGCAGGGGTAATGACTCCCATGTTGCCTAGGGCTTTAAGTGTTGCAAGGGCTTCTTTCTCAACTTCTTCGCCGGCAGAAGGAGAGCACTGGCTCTGAACTTTAGCGGCCAGGATGTCAGCAATTTCCTTGACTGGAGCTGTCTCGTTGCAGTGGGGAGTGTGACGGCAATAGTTGTTAACCATGGTGGCAGCAGCCAGAGCCACTGAAGGCATAGGTCGAGGGCTCTCAAACACGGGTTTGAGGGCCTCCACAGCTTCAATGCTGGGTCTCGGGGTGAGGTAAAGAGCAGCTGTGTACAGAGCAAGACGTCCTCCTGTTGCTCGTCCACTTTCTATTTCCTGGACCATGACCTTGACTGCACCAGACTCGTGGACGAAGGCAATGGCATCCAGGAAGATGCTCTCTAGCCTGGCAGAGTTGCCACAATAACGTCCTCCTCGCACTTTCTCTGCAGTTGCTTCAACTACCGACGCAGGAACACGTCGTAACAGATGGAGGGCTTTGGCAACCAGTGCAGCAGCATCAATCTCAACAGTCTCCATGGTCTTTGCAGATCTGCTTCATGACTGCATCCACCTCAGGGGCCAGTTCTGGTTCCTTCACCATTTCATGGTTGTACAAGAGGCTTTCAATCTGGAATTGACCTGGAGGGATGGCAGTGATGGCGGAAGCATCGCTGGACTCGGAGATGAAGCGAAGTGTTGACTCTTGGTCGGCCTCCACATACTTGTACATTCCAAAGGCAGGTCGAACAATGTTCTTGTCCTGACAGGTGATGGTGGTGTAAATGCCATTGGTGATCTCCTGCTTGCACTCTGACCTGGACTCTTCGATTGGCAGGGGAGCCTTGAGCCAAGGGGCGGGTGTTTCTGCAGGCGTTGGGAAGCGTTCTTGGCAATGGCGGTGGTTCTTCTCCTTGACAACAATGACCTTTTCTCCTTCAGTCTCAATCTCATACTTCGTTGGGCATTTTCCTACAACGTCCGTCTACAAAAGAAGAAGAGGTTATGTGCTTAACATCATTAAATTTTGGAAGGCGTTTGATTTATTCTTCGATACTTGGGAAGGTTGCTTAATTCTGATACCTATCAGCTTCCACAAAAAAAAAAAAAAAAAAATAAAATAATGTATTGGCAAAAGTTTAAGGTCCTGTTTCAAATCATCTTCAGATTATCGACAGATATTTTTCCAAGATAGAAAGTAAATTGCATTTATTCATTCATCTCCAAGTAGGTGGCACTGTTCTACCAAGAAAGCCTGGCAGTTACCTCTGTAAGAGTGAATCCTGAGCTGAGAGGGGAGAGCGACGGGAGCGAGTTCTGAAGGGCTGTGGCGATTCCCTTCTTCATGTTGATGGACCAAGGGGCATCGCCGGGGTGAGTGCACACGTGCTGGATGCGCCCGTCTGCCACGGCCACCACCAGGGGATAGCGCTCCAGGAACCCTATGTCAGCTCCTGAAAACAGCAAACTCTGTGAAGACAGCCGGCGCCGCACTCCATTTGGCTCGATCAATCACGCTCACATTTTTACATCTATCGCAGCGATCGTACCAGCAGAGCCGGAGGAAGGATTCAAGTGAAGACAAGAGCAAAGGCCGGCAAGGCGCGGTACCCACCTGCTGCGCCGTCCACCTTGGCGTGCTTGATCGTGATGGCCATGTCGCAGGGAGTGATCCACGTCAGCTCCACCTGCTTGGACCACTCGAGTTCCGTGGCGCCGTCCTCCACGCCCTTCAGCTGGACCCGTGACTTGCCGGAGTAGGCGTAGGTGTAGGTCTTCTCAGGCTGGTAGGCCAGCTTGGGGGATCCGGTGATGGGGCATTCGGTGGAGCATCTTGGCGCCTGTGCTGTCCAGGGCGCTGAAGGGAACGGAAGGCTCAGCGCAAGGAATGCCAGGATCGAGTGAATGTTTTCTAATTTGAATCAAAACTTAACAGTCGACCACATTAGAATGGTTAAAAGTGAATGCACGAAACAAATTAAAAGTGGCGGTTTCATTAAGGAAAAGCAGATTGTTGATGAGCGTCCGAGCAAAAGATCGACCTGCGACGACTTACCTGCGAGTCCTCCTGCCACGAGGGCGAGCACGAAGACGAGGCTTGAGGTCGTCATGGTGGCTCTACCCGGTCACCACGACTACTGG